AGAAAAACTATTTTACATCCTAACCTATCATCCACCTCTTTCAAAACGCCGTTGGACTAAAGTTTATGTGGAATACGCATTGGTCAGTTGACATAATAAGTTTATCATTACATAATACCAAAACTTGATCCTTCTTAATTTATTCCTGTGATGATACTGTTTTTTTGAAAAAACAAAAGGGCAGCCCGGTGCACTAAACTCCCGCTATGCGCGAAATCCGGGGAAGGGCCAGACCACAAGGGTCTATTGTACGCAGCCTTACCCTGCATTTCTGCAAGAGGCTGTTTCCACAGCTCGAACCCGTGATCTCCTGGTCATATGGCAGCAAGTTTACCGGTTATACCAATGAGCTGCTCATGTGACGATACTGTTTAACTAAACTAATTTCATTTTGAAGCAGTAGCAAGTCTAAATATTCTAACTACTCGTCTCTCTGTAACAAACCATGCACATTACATCTAAAACTTACTAAAATCACATCTCATTTATCTCTTTTTTCTGTTCACATACTACAAATTGCATCTTTTGCTTACTCTTTGAGCTAAAAGCATACTGCAACCTAGTAGATTTGATCAATTTGGCCTAAAGTCTACAACTTTGTTATTGATGTTGTCCAGTCATAATCATGTGTTGAAACAACAGCAGAAAACTTCTTTAACAGATTAGTGTATAGATTGACTTCAACCCATGATTAAGAGCATTGACAGTTTAACAAACAGAGAATATTAGTATTCAGCTTACAAAGAAATGCACAACAGCACAAGCAACAAGTACATATTAATAGCAGTATGTAGCAAGTACTGGTGGAATTAGTCGAGGTGCGCGCCCAGACACCACAGTTGTTAAAAAAATATATTAACAGCAGTAAATACAAACTCAAGATATAAACCAACCTTGATTCAAGAGTCGGCTACATATTGGAAGAACTTGAGTAAAGGGTCCAAGCTTCTGCCTTTCTGCTAACAGCTCTGTCAAGTACTGACTACAAGAAATTAAAAACACCCAAAAAACAATATAATTTGCTAAAGAATCAATCTTGCATAAAGTTTTCAACTTTAAGTTTCAAAAAAGAAAAAACAAAGATTTGTCCTTTACCTATCAACATCGTGGTTGGTTCTAATATGAGGAGAAACAGCTCTAGCAGGTGAGAAATTCAAGTTATGATTATACAAATTAGACATGAACTTCAATTAAAGAAAAGGGTCTCTAATTAAACTTTGAACAGTTAAAGAAAAGGGGAAGAATAACAAGGGGTCAAGAAACAGCCAACAAAGAAAAATGTTTTTTTGGTTAATAAAAAGACACAAAAGAAGAAGCTTTGAATCAGTGAAACCCTGGAAAACAGGGAAGAAATAAATAGTGAACTGTTTTTTTCTGTGTTGGAGTTGGAGGCTTAAATATAGGTGTGGGTCATGTACTTGCCCCACGTTAGCAGCTAGCAGTTCTTTTTGTTCTTGTTTTCACTACGTAGTGAAAAGAATACATAGGCTCTCTAAACTACAAGTAGTAACTAAACGATAGGTCCGGTAAATTAAGCAATTGCTAGGCACCGGTCCGGAAAAGGATCGTATTACAAGAGTTTATTGTAATATAGACTTATTTTATATTTCTGCAAGAGATTATTTTCTGCAATAAGTTATTTTTACGGTTCGAACCCGTGACCTCTTGGTCACATAACATCAACTTTACCAGTTACGCCGAGACTCCCTTCTAATAGCTAAACCATAATAAGTACAATAATCTGTAGATTATTAAATTATACTAATAATATAAGAATATTTTACATTGTATATAAGTTAAATTATATAACAAAAAAGGTTTAACTTACCATAAGTTCTTTTTTTAAAATATATAAAATGAGAAGGAGAGATGAGGTGACTAGCTTAGTTATTTTGTTTAATTTAAAGGGATTTATTCTTCAATTTCAATAATGATGTTGTTCCTATTAAATTAACTTTACATATATATTAGTTAATGTCGTATTTATTTTAATTATTGCACATTATAAATGTTTAATTAAATTAATATCTTAAACTCTTTGTTTAATGAATTACCATTAGATAAACTGAAACAGCACATCTAGGAATGCAATGTTAGTAAATTACTATAAGCACAAGTACCAGAGGCCAGAGCCTAGCAGAAAGCATCTGCCAATTTTTTTAGCAGTTCCATTACAAATGCATAGCTAATAAAGTGAGAAATACTTACCAACCAATTGTCTTTTACAATAAATTTAATTACTGACATAATTCTTGAGTCTCATGGCTTCTCTTAATGTGCGCCAGTGTCTTTTTCTTGTAAATACACATAGCCAATGAATTTTCCATTATTGTGAATGCTACTAATGCATTATTTATAATGATCTTACTAAGGGCAGTCCGATGCACTAAGTTCCTGTTATGCACGGGGTTCGGGGAAGAGTCGAATCACAAAGTTCTATTGTACGCAACCTTACCCTGCATTTCTGCAAGATACTGTTTTCACGGTTCGAACCCGCGACCTCCTGATCACATGGCAATAACTTTACCAGTTACGCCAAGACTCCCCTTCTATAATGACCATTACTAGCTTTGCTTTTTCGAAAACCTTATTAAAAAAATTCTTCTACTAGAAACTTAGATACTAGTATAATTATATGAAAAGACAACTAGCATTTGTCGGATTCGATGTTCGTACGTATTAAATCAATAAATATTGACATTACAGAAAAAGGAACTTAATCCATGAATGTAACACATGCGTCTTGTATATAAAGTTTTATAACTTAATATTGGTTAAGGGTTATTTATTTTTACATTATTGCATAACTATTTACATTAAACGTTTGAGTTTATTATAAATAATTAACGTGTGTGAGTAAGTTTTTTCCCCAACAATCACTTACATTACAATAATATTATGGTAAATAAAGGTAAAAACAATGATATCGAACAACAAGCATAGAGTGGGGGAAAGATGGAATATTGTAATACTAGCATAGGATTCCAAAGAAGGAGAGAGCAGTGTACTTGAAAATTATATGACCATTCACGTTGTACAGAGACAAAAATGTGTGGATCGCAATAAAGCTACTTCATTCATAGCCTCCCACCTTCTTAATTAAATTATTGATTTCATGTATTTCTTGGTTCGAGCAGTGGAATAAGCCATTGATACTTGCATTAGGGTAGACTACCTATATCACATCTCCTTGGAGTGCGGTCCTTCCCCGAACCCTGCATGGACGCAAAATATTTTGTGCACCGGGCTGCCCTCTTGGACAACCCTAATCTTCCTAGCTATATATATAATATATGTTCTTAATTTTAATGATACATAGTATTCGAGTTAGTTTGTACGGATAGCCTATTTAATGAATACTTAATACCTCTCGTTAGCAAAGTTATCAAATAACTCGGTTCACCAAAATTTAGATATAGGTCCAGAAATCATCTTACGTATTTTCTCTTGATTGCATTTGGAGCTTATATCTCACATGATTTCGTCTTATGTTATAATATTCTCAGTTTACCTACCATCGTTACTTCCTAGTTCCTATAAGTCCCCCATATTCTGTTTGTATTAATATACATTTAAGTACTATTTATATCGTCATTTTCAAATATGTCTGTTTTTAGTATTAAATTCTTAATTTTATTTGCCTAAAAGGGAGAAAAAGGAAAGGATGTCATAGAGTTATGGCAATATGGATTTATATTTTTAAATGTAATTACATTATATGAACTTTATTGTTCAGACTTCATGAGAGATTGACAAACGAATGAGATCAATCAAATCTTACATTAATTATTGATCCTTTTTCTCTCCTTCCCATTCATGGATGCAATTGTAAGACTGAGGGATTATATTTGGAACGGATTTAAATTATATACAGTGAAGTAGTATAATAACCTGCTCTAATACGGTGGAAATGACACCAGGTAGCCACTTTAAAGTACAGTCATTTAGGAATTAGCCATCGCGTCTTGAATTTCAATTTTTCGCTTCAAATTTTCATGACAAAAATGTCATAAATTATCCTGAAGTTAAGATTTTTAGTTTAAAATTTTATTACAAAATAAATATTGGCTAATCTCTAAATAGCATCCCCGAGAATAGCTATCTATGCACTTGCCCCTCTAATATGCTACTTGCTTTATTTGGGAGAATTTTCATAACTGCAAATCTTAAGAGATCAATTAACATTAACTACAACCAATTTTATTATTATTTTTAGTACAACAAATACGAAAACGGAACTTACTCCTCTCTCCATGCGAAAATCAAGGAGTTGACATAAAAATAGAATCTTTAAATTTAAGCTTACCAATTAATTACATCTTTCTTAGATACAATAATAACTTCCTTACAAAACAGAAATGAAGCTAAGAAAATATCTCACCATCGGATCTAAAAAGCATAGGCATTTGTTTCAATAATATGAAGAATTTTTTATTCAAAAAATAAAAAAAGTTTTTATTTCATTAAGAAATATCATCTTCATTCTACCTTTTAAGGTGAAATTAAAGTAGATATTATAATGACGACCAATAACAATCCTTTGAAAAACATTATCTAATTTTTTTATTTGTTATATAGCCTTTTTAATAATGGTATGTTAATGGTATATGTTTGATATAGTATACTTTATATATAATTAATTATCGTTTTAGCTAATTCGAGATCTTCCCATTCCAATAGGTCTTCATCGAGTAATTATATTATTTTACACAAAAAACATACGCATCTTCTAAACCTAGATTGGCATCAAACCTTTTTATGCAATGCATTTCATATCTTATATACTTCATAACACTATATTTATTATGAAAAAGTAAACTTTAAATATGTGTAATATATTGTATACTGCTACTGTATACATTAGNGTGTATTCCTACTTATTAGAAGAGGAAACACAGGCACCTCTCCGTCAACGTGTGTGTTCCCTTGAATATTTAACTTTGTCTGGGGTATGTTTGTAATTTCATTAATTTACAGCTCAAGAGCTGACTCTTTCTGCCATTAGCCAACGCGTGGCCTCCCAATTCTTCAAACCTAAAACCTCCATTCAACACAACTTACTACACATCTGTTTGCAATAACCAAAAATTACCGAAGGAAGCAAAGAGGACATCATCAATTGCCCCAAAATTTAGCAGACTTCACCTAATAATTCAACGAAATTACAACACTTAGCCTTTTCCGATTCTCATCTACCACAAAGAGTAGGTTTATTCCAATTAGTCCAGTATTTCATTTTATTTATGCTTTCTATTCTACTTTTTCTTCTTCCGCAAAAATATCAGATCTTTGGGGTTTTGGCTTGATTAGCAATATTTTCTTCATTATACTCTTAAGATTCGTTTCAAAAAAGTGAAAACAAAGTGAGATTGGTTTCTGATTTGTTGTCTGTTTTTTAGTCCGGTATTTCATTTTATTTATGCTTTCTGTTCTACTTTTTCTTCTTCTGCAAAAATATCAGATCTTTGGGGTTTTGGCTTGATTAGCAATATTTTCTTCATTTTACTCTTAAGATTCGTTTAAGAAAAGTGAAAACAAAGTGAGATTGGTTTCTGATTTGTTGTCTGTTTTTATTAATTTATTTATTTTGCATTTCTTCTGTGAATTCTAAGTCCTCTTCATTTTTCCACTGTTATTCAACTTTCTTTAAAAGATTTCTCTTTAAAAGGCTGAACCCCAATGGGTTATTATATTTCTATTATTTAGCAGTAGAATGAACAATAAAATGTGTTACTTAGGGTCTACTGACGCTTTTTTTGGTTTGATTGTTATAAATGCAGTTATCTTGCGTTAATAAGCTTGTGAAACAATGTATTCCGGCCAAAGAAACAAACGGCCATATGCAGAACATACAAACTCTGACAAGAATGTAAGAAGACGTGATATTTATGGACAAATATTGCCTGATAAAAAAGAGGCAATGTTACTACAACGCCTCACCAAAGAACTTGAACGGCAAAAATGGAATAGTTCGATAAAATCGGCAATTGATCCAGATGAAAAAGTAATGTATCAATGTTACTCTATGATTCGAAAACATACTGCTCTTATCATAAGAGAGCCTTCTTCTGCCGACGTCCAAGATTAGACTGAATTATTGCTTTTTGTTTATGTTATGTTAGTGTAGCAGCAGACAGATAAATATTCATATTTTACTAAGTAATTATTTTATAAGCAGAGCAGGCTATGACGTGTTTGCTTAAATATATTAAATGTAAAATGTGTTTCATATTTGTTGCAGTTGGCAGCAACCATGATGTTAATACTTTCTCAAGTTCTTTTAATAAGGGAAAAAATGCCGCTCATCCGTTTTTTGTATTTGAAAGAGGTAAACCTAGAACGTCTATGAACATGTTTCTTAGCACATCACGGCTTAGGTGTACATCTAAATTGTGAGAAGTTGTGCCCCAGGATCAACATCGCGTGCATCTAAGGGACAACAAAATTTGTTCTCCGATGCCACAGGCAAAGGTTAGTATTTCTTTCACGCTAGAGTAACACTTTCATTAGTAGAATATTTTTCATGTCTTTATTTTTAACAATACTTACAACATACAAGTGATACCTTCACCAAATTAATTCGTAAGAAAAATAATGACAAACATATGGATTATGCATGATTAAAAGATGTTCCAAACTGTAAATTTTGCAATGCAAAAAGGTTTTAATATGAACCCCCTGGATTTTGCTGTGGCAGCGGGTCAGTTAAGTTAGTTTCATATGACCTGCCTAATGAATTATCAGACTTGTACACAGGTAACACTGAAGAAGCTAAGCACTTTCGAACCTACATTAGAACATACAACAATATGCTTGCCTTTACGTCACTTGGTGTAACCAATGATAAAGATTTAGCGAGGAGATATCATGGTATATATACGTTTCGAGTTCAGGGACAAATGTACCATTTTATACCTGATTTACTTCCTTTTGATAAAAAAGGAAAGAATATGCAATTATACTTTTATGATAACGAAAATGAACTTGCTAACAGAATGGCTTGTTCAAGAAATATTAACGAATCAATTGTAAAAAGGCTTATGAATGTGCTCTTAATTAATCCATATTCCATTTTCTTAAAATCCTTGACAAACGTTCCGAAACTATCTGATTGCTATATCGCGCTTAAATATGAACCAAAGTCAGATCAACGTGTATATAATCTACCAACTACAACAGAGGTAGCTGGAATATGGGTACATGATAATGTTGTCGATATTGTTTCTACGCCTCATATTCGTATTTACACACATAGTGACAAGACTCAATCAGTAAACTATTATTATGGATATTATGATGCATTACAATATCCATTATTATTTCCATACGGTCAAAACGGGTGGCATTGTGGTATTAAAAAAATTATACGAACAGATCAACGTTATTGTAAAAATGAAAAATTACCGAGTGTAAAGAATATGTGTTCCATTGATGGATTTCTTGATATGGAAGCTCAAACTATGGAAAAAGGAAAACGAAAAAGAGAGACAGTTTCTTGTCGTGAGTATTATTGTTACAAATTTCAGATAAGAGAGGATGAAAAAAATGAGGTCCTACATTGTGGAAGATTATTTCAACAATTCATAGTAGATGTGTTCATAAAGCTAGAAACACAAAGATTAGATTTTTATTTTTTTAATCAAGATTTGTTTCGAATGGATGTGCTACAAGGACTTATTAATTTTTTAAAACTTGGTGAAACAGAAGCTTCCAAGATTGGCAAGAAAACATTCCTCCCTGTTACTTTCATAGGAGGGCCAAGGGATATGCGTCGACGGTATATGGATGCTATTGCATTAGTGCAACGATTTGGAAAACCTGATATTTTTTTAACTATGACATGTAATCCATCTTGGCCAGAAATAAAACAACACTTGTTATCAACAGATGAAACTCAAAATAGACCTGATTTAGTATCACGAGTATTCAGAGGAAAAGTAGAAGAATTAAAAGCAGATATCTTGAAAAAAAAAAATCTTTGGAAAAGTTGCCGCTTTTATGTATACTATAGAATTTCAAAAACGTGGTCTTCCACATACTCATTTTCTTATCATACTTACTGGTGAGTACAAATTGTTAGCACCTGAATCTTATGATAAGTTTGTTTGTGCGGAGTTGCCTGATTGTAATAATGAAGAGCACCTTTATTCACGTGTGCTTCAACATATGATGCACGGACCGTGTGGTGATTTAAATCCTACAAATTCATGTATGGGAAAAAGAGGGCTTTGTAAATTTAATTATCCAAAAGATTTTGCTGAGCAAACATCAAAAGGAAAGAATTCGTATCCAATTTATAGAAGACGAAGCACAGGTAAACTAGTACATATAAGGGAACAATATTTGGACAATTCATGGGTTGTCCCGTACAATCCTTACTTACTTTGTAAGTTTGATTGTCATATGAATATTGAAGTTTGTTCTGATATTAAAGTTGTAAAATATATTTACAAATACATTTGCAAGGGACATGATAAAATTGCTTTCTGTATACATAACAATGAAGAAATAGATGAAATAAAAGAATATCGATCTGCTAGATGGGTAACACCCCCAGAAGCGGCATGGCGTTTATTTGGTTTTGCTATTAGTGAAATGACTCCGACTGTTTATCATCTTCAATTACATTTAGAAGGGCAGCAATTTGTTTCTTTTAAAAGTAGTGAAACTGTGAATAGAATTTTAAATAATCCGATGATTAGAAAAACAATGTTGACTGAATTTTTTGCTATGAATAGAACTAATGAACATGCTATAGCTATGCAATTATTGTATAAGGAATTTCCAGAACATTTTGTATGGTCTCCAGGATATAGAACGTGGACACGTCGGTAAAAACGTAACGTAATTAGACGTGTTGTAACATGTCATCCAACAGAAGGAGAGAGGTATTATCTCAGGTTATTATTGATGAACGTGAGAGGGCCTGAATCATATGAAGGTCTTCGCACTGTTAGCGAGGTACCCTGTAGTACATTTAGAGAATCAGCAGAAAAAAGAGGATTATTATACTGTAGCAATAGTCTAATTGAATGTATGTTAGAGGTTGTTAGCTATCAAATGCCATATAGCTTGAGACGCTTATTTTCCACACTGTTAGTATATTGCAATCCTGCTGATCCAAAAAAATTATGGGAAATGTTTGAAGATTCAATGTCCGAAGACTTTAAACATTTCTCTGATTTTGAAGAAAAAGGTGTTCGGCATAAGGTTTTAAGCCATATCAATGATATCTTGCACTCTATGGGACACGACATAAATGAGTATAAGCTTATTCCAAAGAATATTAGAGCTTCCGAAACTGCAAAGGATGCAAAGGATATTCATTTTGAAAGAAATATAATTGTTAGTGAACAAGACTTACTTTTACCGAAGAGATTGAATGTTCAACAATTACGCTCATATAATACAATAATTGATAGAGTATTTTCTGAAAAACAAGGAACATTCTTCGTCGATGGTCCTGGAGGAACAGGTAAAACTTTTTTATACTGTGCATTATTAGCAACAATCCGGTCTCAAGGATTTATAGCTTTAGCAACTGCAACTTCTGGTGTGGCAGCTTCTATCCTTCCAGGAGGACGGACTGCTCACTCACGGTTCAAAATGCCTATTGATATAGATGATAATTTTCGTTGCAACATTAGTAAACAGAGTTTGCTGGTATGTCTAATTAGAGATGTGAAATTAATTGTATGGGATGAGGCATCAATGGCAAAAAAGAATATAATTGAAGCTCTTGATACACTTCTAAGAGATATTATGGATGTCGATACAATGTTTGGTGGTAAAGTTGTCGTATTTGGAGGTGACTTTAGACAAACTCTACCAGTTGTTCGAAATGGAAAAAAAANAGGAGGACGGACTGCTCACTCACGGTTCAAAATGTCTATTGATATAGATGATAATTTTCGTTGCAACATTAGTAAACAGAGTTCGCTGGCATGTCTAATTAGAGATGCGGAATTAATTGTATGGGATGAGGTATCAATGGCAAAAAAGAATATGATTGAAGCTCTTGATGCGCTTCTAAGAGATATTATGGACGTCGATACAATGTTTGGTGGTAAAGTTGTCGTATTTGGAGATGACTTTAGACAAACTCTACCAGTTGTTCGAAATGGAAAAAAAGAAGATTTTATTTATGAAAGCTTATTGTATTCTGAAATTTGGAATAAGTTTGAGAAATTATGCCTATCTGAAAATATGCGCGCAAGAACAGATCCTTCTTTTTGTGAATATTTACTCCGAATTGGAAATGGAACAGAAAGAACTAACTGTGAAGACAAATTAGAGATTCCTGATTCTTTTGTTATTCCTTTTACGACTGAAGAAGAATGCTTAGATGCATTGTTTAGTGTAACTTATCCTGATTTGCACGCATTTTCTCATGATTCATCTATGATAACCTCTCGTGTTATTTTAACAACGAAGAATGACTTTGTAAATGAAATAAATAATATGTTGATCACTAAATTTCCACAAAGGTCTAAAACATTTGTTGCAGTAGATGAAACTATTGACCCGAACGATCAAAGCCAGTTTGAAGATTTTCTACATAGTTTAGATCCTCCTGGTTTACCGCCTTATAAGTTAACTTTAAAGGAAAATTGTCCTGTTATATTATTACGAAATCTAAATCCTTGCGAAGGTTTATGCAACGGTACACGGTTAACATGCTGTGACTTTAGAACACATGTCATAAGTGCTAAAATTGAAAGTGGTGATTTCAAAAATACACATGTATTTATTCCGAGAATACCATTGTTAACAACACAAGATGAAAAAATACCGGTTCAATTTAAGAGAACACAATTTCCGCTAAGATTGTGCTTTGCTATACCATAAACAAAGCTCAAGGTCAAACATTAGATTTTATTGGAATTTACTTACGTGAACCTGTTTTTTCTCATGGTCAGCTTTATGTTGCTTTATCAAGAGCGAAAAGTTCAAACTGTGTTAAAATACTGATTCGACCATCTACAGCGGACAGTACTGATGATCATTCAACATATAATGTGGTTTATGATGAAATTATTCAGAAAGCTTTCTCGTAGGAGACCTAATGATCTTTAGTTCAACAATGAAAAAACCAAGTTTTTAACTCCGCTTGTGTTTCGGTTACACTACTGCACCACAGCCGGTCCCAAGCCCGAAAAAAGGAGAAGGGTTTACTGTCTATCTATGATTTACAATTCTAGAATGCAGGATGATTAGTAAACTAGCATATATTGGATCTTCCAAAATCATTAAGGTATATCTATTTTATGGTTCTTCTGAGTTACTTTATTACAAAAAAACATTTTCCATTGCATGCGCCTTTACTCGAACTTATTTCTTTTTACGATTCTTTATTTACAGAACAAAAATGTTGAGGTGGACAATATAGTGTGCGCGTGAGGCATTGCCTCAGTAGCAAAAGTTTGTACTGCAATGTGTTTTCTTCCGTCAATCAATCATATTTTATGGTGAGTATCCCTTCTACCATTTCTTGTTTTATCTTTATCTGTATTTGTCTTGAGGACTCTCAAGTTTGTACTGCAATATGTTTTATTCCGTCAATCGTATTTTCTGCTGGGTATCCCTTCTACTATCTCTTGATTCATCTTTATCTATATTTGTCTTGAGGAATATTTGAGACAATTCTTGAACAAATACCATTTATATTAAAGTTCTCTAGGTGTTTAAGAAAATTCTTCAATGAATTACCATATTTGTTAAATTTCTTATGCATATTTCTATCTTCTCTATTATTTTGAAAAAATACTTGAACGACCAAACTTATCAGTTGACTTAGCAAGGACGAGGAGACCACTTCACTTGAATTACTAACTGTTTGCTATATTTTTCTTCTCAGTTATACTATATTTTTTGTTGATCGTATATATCATCAAATACCTCTGTTTCTTTATTCGATCTCTGACCTCTTCATCTTAGGTGAATGTTGAATTTGTTATTTTTGTTCTCTGTCAATTAAATTTTCAATTATTAGCTTATGTGCTTCTCGTTTTCTCACTTGTGCGTTGACGTTGTTACAATTATTTTCTGTCAGTTTATTTGGAGATAATTAGGGTATTTGGGGCTTTAACATATTTCTCAAAGGCTGATGGCCTGTGTGTATTTGAGATGGATTCTTTTGCTATTTCCATAATGCATAGATTGTTTTTGCATACATTTTTATAAGTAAATTTTGCATGTACAAACTATCAACTTGGTGGTTAAGTAAAATCAGCTTTCCAATTTATTGACACTAAAANATAAGTAAATTTTGCATGTACAAATTATCAACTTGGTGGTTAAGTAAAATCAGATTTCCAATTTATTGACACTAAAAATTCAACTTAAGAAGACGTTAGTGATGCACTGTGCTGGGAATTGTCTGCAGTATAATCGGTAGGATGTTAACCAAGAAGCATGTTAAAAAATTGCATTTTCTTTGTGCTTGCGATACTTAGATTCAAATAGCTGCTTATATGAATTCACTATTAGAATGAAATAATTACTAATCCAATCAGTTCGAAATTGAGTAGTT